ATTTGGGTAACTTTAGTTTATGATATAGCTTGTATGCAGGCTAGGCTTCTACCGTTACCCTTTTGTTTTCCCGTGTAATTTGAATCTTTGTTTTGCCTTTATTCGTGCAACTGTGGACCGGGGTATGCCCCGTGTATTTGTAATTTGTCTTAGGCCTTTGCAGGATATCATCGGATGGACTTTGCCAATTCACATTCATATTCGAAAAGGCCTCCATCCACTTGATTATCGAATCAATCCCACTCCAAGTTGTGACTCTTTCCCTGGGGTATGCCCAGGTTTCATTGTTTTTTCTGCTTTCTCAAATCCACACCAGCGTTGTATTTCCAGGGTATGCCCGGTGTATTTTGTTTATCCGGTCTTGGGTATATATATATATTTACATTTACCCTCAATGGTTGCCAAGTTCATGGACCATGGTGGTCCTTCAGTGATTGGAGAGCAAAGGGGCGGGTAGGAGCGGTAAGAAATTGCATCCTGGCACGGGCTGAACGGTGGCCGGGTAGGGGTTTTCAAATCCGTTTGCGGCTAGTCCAGCTTGCTGCTGGCCCATAGTAGCAAATCCCGTTAGGGTGGTTCTGGTTCGTTGCTGGTGCTGAATCGCGTGGTTGATGCTATTGGCTGCTCTGTTTTCTTTTTATATCACGGTCTGTGTGCTGAAGTTTTTGGCCTGTGAGCTTGCCTTGTACTACTTATGTTGTTTCATGGACTTAGGCCTGTGTGCCGAATATTTGTGCCTTTGTAATTCACGAGTTGGGGAAGTGTGTATTATTGCTTTGTAAACAGGGCAGTCAATAGCACCCAGGAGATGTTGGCGTTGTGGTTGCCACCCGGTCAAATTCATTATAGTGCTGGGACGCTATGGCCACTGGCAGGGAAGCTGGCAAGCGAGGCTGCGAAAACACTAAAGTAACAAAAAGAAAAGAACTAGAGTAAGTGATCATATTTGATTATATTTAGAAAATTTCCAGCTCAATATTCATGGAAGGAAAATGGAATGCCACGAGTATGCAACAAAAGAGTACAATAAAAAACAAACATTATAACTTGATATATAGTCCTTGAGATGATCCCAATTCGTCAGTTTCAATTATTTAAATGCATTGAACATCCGTGAATCATTCGGTGAATAACAGTGGTATCTCATGAGAAGAAACACAAACATTTCAGTCAAATAAGTAACACAAACATTATAACTTCACCTAAGTGCCGTAAATACCAGTCTAAGAATTTGATGAGATATAGAGGTTGTTTCATTCAAAACAGTTGCATATAGTGTAACTTGAAAGATGTTTTTACTTGAATATAGATAAGTACTTGAGAGCAGGAATCCAGCATTGTATGGCACTAATTTGGATGGAATATGTTGTGCTTTCACTATGGGGCATCCATTCTGTTTTATGTGTTAAGGACACCATTCCTGAATTAATGAAAGATGAATGCAGATTATAATGACAGAAAAAAGAAAAAATTTAATTCTGTGACGGGATTGAAAGACATAGTAGTTGAAGAATGAAGATTGAAAAGATAAAAACCAAATACAAACGAGCAGTAAACTTACATTACGAAATACAAATTTACTTGAGCAGTAAACGCACAAAAGAGCCCTAAATTAAAACAACAAATGTTAAATGGGATATAATAGCAAACGCATGGGTAGTTTAAAATGTTACCGTTATGAGAAAGAAAATCATACACAAATATTTCAGTCCACACAGTAGTTGAACAGCACAGCATAAGTGCAAACATAGGCACCATTTTGTTGGGAAATTTCATACAGAAACTAAATCAGTCTATAACATCATAAGCAAGTACAGTAAAATTTTAAAGAAGTAACCAAATACAGAAGAAGTAACCATGATCGAAAGACACAAGAAGTAACCATGAAAGAAAGACACAAGAGAGCGTATTCGAGCCTGATAGGTGGTAGGGTGGGATATATGATGTCCCAACTAATGTGGACTTGTTTAGTGGCATCAATGGAAGGAACCAGTGGCCCGGAGAGACGGATTAGAGAGGGCAAGCGGCAGAGACAGACGGGGCAGAGACAGACGGGGACTCCGTGACACGGCGGTGGTGAGGGCCAATGGAATGGCCAGGAGTATGCAGATAAAGTACCAAAAGAGTACTATCAAGATAGAAAGGCATTTTAAGTTTCACCAAAACAGAAATAGTAATATTAAATAAAAAACTAACAAACAAAAGCACTTTCAGTCGACAGTAATGGACATGATTAAGGGCAGTTGAGACCATGCTGTGACCCTGAACAAGTTATTTTCACGTGGGGCATCGAAATGAAAAGTATTATTTCTTTACTATGTTTCCGTGAATGTGGTTAAATTAGCCACGACAGAAATAACATACTCCAATTACATTTGATAAAAAAGCAACCTCTACTGCATAGATTGAGTACACCGCACAGTGTTATGCGCAGAAAAGGATACAGCATACAGGCATGATACAGCAACATGGTACCCGAGAAAAGAACAAGCCAAACACTGTCCACCCTTGCGAACACAGAACAAACTTCTGAAGCATAAGTCCGCAATGAAAAGTACGTATGTATGTCCTAGTTAGTAAGGCACTGGGTGTTTTCCGCATAATTGATGTAGGAATTATCCAAATATAAAACAAGCAGGTAGTAGTTATTACGAGACGTAAGCAATGACTATATAATCAAATAAACAAAATTGCATTTACAAGGTGATCACACCTAAACTAAATTCGATGGTTCACTGGATTCTAAGGCACACAGTTTCGATCAAATTTGAAGGCATGAACTTAAAAGATAACACCACCTCTATTTAACTATGCAATGATCAATCAGAGAGAATTCCGAATAAAGCAACTAAGAAGATGAACTTAGTTTAGTACTAGTGTGCTGTTTAGAAATTTAAAAGAAGTACACAATTATTTCAGTCTATAAACAAGCAATTCCCAGTAAAAATTTAAAAGAAGTATGAAAAATTGTAGTGATATATTACGAGTATAGTGTAACTTGAAATATGTACTTCACCAAAGAATTGTTTGAATGAATTGTTTGAAGTAACACATATGGATAGGCGCTCGTTGATAAAAAGTCCCGTAAAATTTAAAAGAACTAACCATAAAAAAAAACTTAGAAGAAGAAATAACTGAAGCTCCGAACAGAAACGAAAAGAGCAGAACTGGGGCAAGCAGTAGTAAAATCATGGGTTTTTGAGTATTAAATGAGTTTGGGTTAGAATCATCTCGCGCAAATTTTGTTGACATTTAAAACTATCTACAATCAAAAACTATCTACATTTCAGTCGTATGGTCACAACTGATTGAGACCATACGACAATCATTTTTATACACAAATGGTTGATTTATGAGCTGATGGAAAGTACTGTATTAGTGAGAGGCATAAGCAAATGCATATTGCAATCACACCTAAGCTTAATCACATTTTCATCTATCTGCAAGCAAGCAAAAGCCTCAACGCAGTCGATTTCATACAGAAACATGTCTGCAGCATCACAGCTATAATGCAGCAAGCGGAAGAATAACCAAGTCCAGTAAAATTAAAAAGAACTAACCACGAAAGACACAGCAGCAAGAATTTGATTCAATGTAGTGATTATTTCATTGAAATAATTATCTCCAATTTGTAGTTGTGTGAAGATGAATGGTTGCAATATATGTTCGCAACTCATGGGTACTAAGACATCCATTTCAAGCAATAGAATTCAAGCAATAGAATTCGAGCAGCAATGGTACAAAGTAAGGATACAATACAATAGGAAATAAAAGAACCATAAGTATTGTGAATAGGAAAACAAATCAGCAGTAATTAACAACCCAAAGGATTTAATTAATTGATTTAAAATAACAAAAGGATTGTCAAGCAAATAAGAAAATTACCAGGTAAACGTGAGTGAGTAGTTAATGTAAGGAAAATGATTGTGAGTGAGCAATCTACTAGTGTGCTCTGTAAAAATCTAAAAAGCCGCAACTGAAAGAAAAGTATACACAAATATTTCAATATATAAATTTAAAAGAACTATGAAAAATTGTAGTGCTATTAAAATGTTACCTTCCGCATAAGTTGCTTGTTATCATGTAAGTTTTAATTCATAGATAGGATTTTCACTTTCCCCAATAAGTTTTAAACAACATAAAGTATTGGGGCATAAGAAATCAACTATATAAGTAATATTACGAGACTGCATAATGGAAAAGTTGATATATAGTCCTTGAGATTGAGATTGAGATGATCCCAATTCCTCAGTAACTAATTGATGTAAAATAAGAAATCAACTATGGGGGATATATATATTAACGAGGGACAGCCAGAGGCAATGAGATAATAACTAACTAGTGGCCCCGGAGAGACGGGCGGATAGATCGGGCTGAGACCAGCCGCATAAGTCCGCAACACGGCGGTGGTGAGCGCCTTCGGGATAGATACGAGCTCATAATGTAAGTTTCAAACTATATAAGTAATATTATCGATTGGAGGCAGTAATGATTGGGTAATCAGCAACATTCTTAAGTAATAAGCAGCTCAGTTAGATTTGTAATCAACATTGGGCAAACAGTACACAAATCAAAATTGAAAAGAGCTCTACCCTGCATTAGATCTTGCTAAAAGACCAAGAAGGCTGAAGGCTTGCATTTTAAATGACCAACAATAGCCTAAAAGTTAAAATTGCAATAACAACCTGTGTAAGTTTGCCCATTAAAGTCGAGAATCACTCACCAGTTTATCAATGACTTTGTCCGTTATATCATGAAAATAAATCTACAATTTGGGAATGCTATTAATAAAATAGTGTAGTAGCAGCATTGTTTAAGAAACCGAACTTTAAGAACCAAAAACATTTCAAACACATTTTCGTAGACTAGGAAAACCGTCCGAAACAGCATTCTAATAATAATACATATAGTTGGAAAAACAAATTAAAATTACAAAAATTTCCTTTACATTAAGCAATTACTGGCTCTATTCTGGTTTAGGTGTCATGTTTACTATTTGAAGGTCAAACTGCTTCTTCTTTGTCTTTTAATTTCTTTAACATTTTCGTATAATGTTTTAAATTTGGTCTTTCGTATTAAATATATAAATGTAGTGTCTAAATATATAAATGTTATTCACTAATATGAATATATACTCTTCCTCACTATTAGTTTGGGCTTAAGTTGGATTAAAGCACACAATTTAACAAAATGGAAGAAAAACATGCAAATCAGATTCTCTTATTCAACTGACAATAGTTTACCTCAATACTATCCTTTCCAATCCACCAGCACAGGTAATAATCTTCTTTCTTATCATGATAGTGATAGGTGTATAGAACTATCTAGCAATCTCCGCTGTTTGCACTGCCATTGATGCACCAAACCTGATATAAAGGCAGCATTTAGTACTACATAAAATAGATGGCAGCTGTCACCGGTATGAAATTTAAAATCAGAGAGAATTCCGAATAAAGCAACTAAGAAAGTAATTCACACATGGCAAACTACTGATCTAGGCTTAGCAAAAGATGATATGTGCATACACAAAAAAGGCTTTAAACTTTTAAAGAATGCATCAACCTTAACATAGAGTACTATCAAAATAGTAATAGTAAGAGCAAATAAAAAATGGCAAAATGAGCAGTACTAGTGTGCTGTGTAGAAATTTAAAAGAAGTAACCATGAGTGAGTGAGTGAGTGAGTAGTTAAAAAAAAGTAAAGGATTGTCAAGAAAATAAGAAAATTACCAAGTGAGTGAGTAGTTAATGTAAGGAAAATGATTGTGATTGAGGCATCTACTAGTGTGCTGTGTAGAAATTTAAAAGAAGTAACCATGAGTTGTAGTGCTATATTACGAGACTGCAGACTTCTATCATCAAATGTAGATGCTAGTGTGCTGTGTAAAATCGATCCCCGAGAAATGAACAACGATGATTCATTAACTTCGATTATCAAACGTAGATGCTAGTGTATGCTGAATGAGGTGGCAGACTTCTAGAGAGAGAGTTGTAGCATTTAAATAATTAGATGAGGGGTTCAAATCAGTAATGTGGCCTTGTTATCAGTGGCAGCAATGGAAAAAAATAAGAATATTTTGAAGCACAGTGGTATCTCATTTGATAAAAAAAAAAAAAGCAACATCTAATCTACTGGCAGGGTTTGAGCACCGTCAAGCAGTGTAAGGATACAGCATGTAGTTTCCCTAGTCCCAAAAAAAATTAATTTAATGGTGATTGTGTGTAAAAAATGATAAAGTACATAGGCCAAAAAAAATACCAGCTCATAATGTAAGTTTTAACCAGGCGCAAGAGAATTCGTTGGGCACATAGTAAAGAAAGAAGTTAAAACTTAAGCGAAGAATGGAATGGCCACGAGTATGCACCAAAATAGTACTATGGAGATATAAATGCATTTTCAGTTTCCCCAAAACAAACAATTAGCATAAGAGTATAAAAAACAAACAAACAAACAAACAAAAGCACTTTCAATCGGCAGCAAGGGACATGATGTGACAATGAACATGTTGTGACAATGAACAAGTGCTTTCAGTAGTATTTATTTACTATGTTTTAATCAATGTGGTTAAATTAGCCATGACAAAAATAACATACTCCAATTACATTTGATAAAAAAGCAATCAGTACTGCATAGATTGAGTACAAAAAGCACATTGTTTGCCCAAGAAAAGGATACAGCATACAGCAACGATGGTAGAAGAGAAAATAAACAAGCCAAACAATACAAACTTCGGAAGCATAGGTAGAAAAGAAAATTACGTATGTATGTCCTAGTAAGGCAACTGGGTGAACCCAAAATTATCCAAATATAAAACAAATAGGTAGTAATTATTCCGAGACTTAATCAATCACTATATAGTCAAAGCAACAGAATTGCATGTACAAGTTGAAATGGCAGGCCAAACAGTCATGAAGAAGTTTTAGCTAAGATGCAATCAAAAACTATCTACAATCAAAAACTATCAACATTCCAGCTGTATTAATGCAGCAAGCGGAAGAATAACAACCAAGCCGAGAAAATTTTAAAAGATCTAACTAACCACGAAAGAAAGACACAGGGGCACAAGGAGTTTTCTGAAGATAAGATTGCCAAATATGTTAAGGAGTAATGAAAGATGAATACAGATTATAATGACATTAAAAAGAACAAATTTAAATATGTAACTGCATTGAAAAGAAGACATAGTAGTTGAGCAGTGAAGATAAGATATAGTGTAACTTGAAAGATGTATTAACTTTTACTTCACCAAAGAATTGTTTGAATGAATGGTTGATATATTCCACCAACCTTCACATATGGATAGGAGCTCCTTGATAATATTTGATTAAGGATCATATTTGATGATATTTAATGCAAATACATATTGCAATCATCTATGTGCAAGCAAATGTAATGTAAGCAAAAGGATTGTAAACAAAATAAGAAAATATATCCCCCCCAATTCCACATCAAGCAATAGAATACGTAGGGACAGGGCGTGCCACTGTACACAGTTTCAAGCAAATTTTGTTATTTAGTTAAAAGGAATATATAAGTAATAATGGGAAAAAAAAGTAATGGTAGTAAATTCCGAAATGGTCCAAGTAAAGCTTGAAAAGATAAACAAAAAGAATACAACTAACAAACAACTGAGCAAGATTAACAAATACAAATTGAGAGGGTGTTATGACAATGAACAGATCATGTTGTATCGTGAAACATTCGGTTCGGTAAATTGATAAAGATGTTGGGTTTCTCTTAATCAATCGCTAGATTACCTGTATAGTTATCGGTATTAAATGAAGCTGGAAAGATATTCAACTTAACAATATCCCATAACAATAGAATAGGATCACCTAAACTTAGTGAACACAGCAAAAGTGCAAATCAGATTTGATGTGGAAAAAATTGATAACAATATTGGCAAACTAATACAACCATCTTTATGGTGTTGAGATGATTCCAAATTCCTCAATATTCCAATATTGGCAAGCTAATACAACCATCTTGTTCAAGCTTCAAAAATAATAAATCTGAAAAGCATCACTGTAGTAATGTGATTATGGTCTTGAGATGATTCCACGTTCCTCAGTTTCAATTATGTGAGGAAAACACAAAGTGAATATCAGTTGGGGCGAAATGGATGAGCTATATTGCAGAATCTTCCAATTACTCAGTTTCAATTCTGTAAAGAGCCCTAGGTAGGCCTAATTTTCAATTCAATTTCTAATTAATTGATATAAAAGAAGAAATCAAAATCTTAAATGGGACGGGACAGAGGGCAATGAGATAATAACGAACCAGTGGACCGGAGAGACGATAGAGAGGGCGGCTGAGAGCGGCGGACGAGTACTCTGTCACACGGAGGTGGTGGGTTGGGCGAGGAGGGAAGATAGGTTGTTCGAACGAGCGTAAGGAAAATCTGAAGTGAGGTGAGTTAAATTATTAAACTTAAGGTTAAAATGACCAAATTACCCCAGTTGAGTTGAGTTGAACACTAGAACACTTGAACACTTGGTTGTTGAATTTGAAACTAGTTGTTTTGTGTAGAAACTTTGACTAGCCATAACTTTTGACTCGGTTGTCCGTTTCGGACAAATTTTTTTTTGAAATCGCGTATTTTTTCGAGATCTACGCGGTGCAAACTGCCGCAGGCGGTTTGGCCGTCGAATTTCTCAAAAAAACGCTTATTTTGGTCTTAATTTTAGTTTTTTATGTTTTTAGATGTTTTGAACAATATTTTGAACAATTTTACAACTACTTACGTAAAAAAATTGTAAGAAAAAACTATGGGAACATTATGTTTTATCAGTGAATTTCATTATTACGCAATCAATTGAAAGAAACTAAATTAGTGATTAAACATGTGATAACTTTTCTAAATAGTACATATTGTAGTGTTCATGTTGTAATAGCTCTAATTTCTTCATGATCTTTGTGGAGAGGGGATGGAAGTTGAGGTTGTGTGGTGGGTAATTCATCCATCATCATATCAATTATCAAAATAAGAGGTTTAATTTTGTTATAAGTTATATATATTTAAAGTTGAAAGTTCTCTTATATAATGCATAAAGTCTAAAGTTCATCCATGTTATTATCTAAAGTTTTAAGATAGAAGTTAGCTATATATTATGTTGATGAATGTTATTATCTCAAGCGTGAAGATAGCTATATATTATGCTTATCAATCAATGTTATTATCTCAATCAAGCGTGAAGATAGCTATATATTATGTTGATGAATGTTATTATCTAAATTATGAAGATAGCTATATATTATTTTTATCAATGTTATTATCTAAAGTGTGAAGATAATAGCTATATCTTATGTTTGTCCATGTTATTATCTAAATTACGTGAATTAATATCTATACAATGTTATTATATAATTTTAATTATTATAATATAAAGTAAGCTATACAATCATAAAATCAAAAGTTTGAAGTTTACATACCTAAATTTATATAATTATACATTCATTAATTATTGACATTTTGTGAGAAATTAACTTATCAGTTAATATATATATTTAAAACATCATTGTGTTAACATATTCTCTTCTGTTTAGGTGGATGGTGACTTAATTTTGTTTTGGTAGGGTGTGAGTTCAATTCCCACAGCGTGCAGTATATATCTTCAAGCCATTGCCCTCTTTTTATCTTCTATTACTTTCCTCTTCTTTTTTTTTTTTTTTCCGCTTTTATTCTCATATCGCTTAGCGCTACTTAGGGAAGTATACTACAGGCTGTGGCTGTTGGGACGAGGATGGGGCGAGGTGGCTGTGGCGTCAAGGATGCGGCCGGGCTCGCGAAGCTGTGGCTGTGGAGGATGCGGTTAGGCGAGGCGACGCTGTGGCTGTGGCGGCGAGTATGCGGAGACGCGAGGCGTAGCTGTGGCTGTGGCGACAACACTTGGGGTGTGTATACACATTAAGCTTGGTGCCCTTGTATCTTATATGCTTCCTTTGCCTCCTTCATATGCTGCGATTAATTGCGGCGAGGCTGGGCTGTGGCGGCGACGGCGAGGCTAGGTATTCGAGGGCGGGGCGAGGGCTGTGCCGAGGCGCTGGAGGCTAGCTAGGCTCTGGCGACAACACTACCCTTCCTCCCTTCCTTCCAACGTCTACACTTCCTGCCCGACTGGGGCTGCCCTGTTTCCTCCTCCTCACCGTGTAAGGTATTTCTCTTATATGCCTTTTCCTCATTCATTTGGATTTTTTATTTTGCACTTATATCTACTGGAGTTGTTCTGCTCACTTTTCGCCGAGGGTAGCCGGCTTGTGCCCCACTTTATTTATTTGTTTGTGGTTACCGAAACCCATTTCCCATTCCTTGTTATTTTTTGTTCTACTGAACTGGACACTGCCGAACTTCCCGGGGGATTTGTAATCGGGAGAAATGGTAACCGCCGGCGGCGAATAATGATTTTAATTTGTGAACATAACCGGCCGACGGCGACATATTAGCCGTTCGCCGGCGAAACAATAGCCGGCCGCCGGAGACAAAATAGAACGCCGTCGGCGAATACTATTGCTGGCCGGCGATATAAAAGACCGTCGCCGGTGAAACAAGTGCCACCCGCCGGCGACAAATTAGCCGGTAACCGGCAACAGACTAGGCGGCCGCCGGCGATACTATCGCCGTCCGGCGATATAATAGACCGTCGCCGGTGAAACAAGTGCCGCCGGCGATACTATTGCCGGCCGCCGGAGACAAAATAGACCGTCGCCGGTAACACATTTATTATTTTAATTGAAATTTGTGATGTATGGGAACTCACAAGTATTTATTATCTTAATTGATATTTGTGATGCATTGGAAATCAAAAGTATTTATTAATCTGAATTGAAACTAGTGATGCATGGGAACTCACAAGTATTTATTATCTTAATTGATATTTGTGAAGCATGGGAACTCACAAGTATATATTTTTCCTTAATGAAAATTGTGATATGCATGGGACCTCACAAGTATTTATTATCTTAATTAAAATTTGTGATGCATGTGAATTCACAAGTATATATTTATTTGTGAACTTTGATTTCTGACGCATGTGAAGAAATACATGATATCTCATTTGATTTACAATCTTACTATTTATTGCACAAGGATATATTGAGGCTAAAAAGCTGGTCCAACCACACAGTATAGATAAGTAATTAAATTGCCATGTAACAAATTAAATTCTCATTGGTAGAGTTGGCAGAGACTTGAATAGTGCGTGCGGCTTAATGGCCGTGTTTGATTCTCAGCTTTATCGTCTAACTGTCTAATTTTGGACTTTTATTTATTTTTCTTTTTTTGAGGTGAATGTGAATCCTTATGCCTAGTATAACCATAGACAAGTGCCCAATATAAGTCCTCCCATTTATACAAAACCCATCCCAGTTGAGCCCAACATAACCGCCCCAATTAGTACACCCAAATAATTCGTAAACAAATAATCCTCCGAACCTAATAAATTGAAATCAGACACGTGAACCAAACCATGTCAAGCCTAATATGGGGGCCCAGTCTATGATGCTGATGCACAACTTTTGAATTCTGAAAAATGATTTGACCATGGGTGGGAATCGAACATATCAATTCCCAAGGCACAGCACCTGACCCAGGACGGCGAGAACCTCTCCGGCGACGGACGACCACCGAACCTCTCCGGCGACGGACGACCACCGATCCTCGCCGGCGACGGACGACCACCGATCCTCGCCGGCGACGGACGACCACCGATCCTCGCCGGCGACGGACGACCACCGATCCTCGCCGGCGACGGACGACCACCGATCCTCGCCGAGAACCTCTCCGGCGACGGACGACCACCAACGACGCGACGGCGACGGCGACCAGACGGGACACCTAACCAATGATATTAATTATCTTAATTTGTGATGGTTGTGAACTCACCAGTATTTATTATTGTAATTGTAATTTGTGATGTATGGGAAATCACAAATATTTATTATCTTAATTGAAATTTGTGATGCATGGGAACTCACAACACAAGTATTAATTATCTTAATTGAAATTTGTAATGCATGGAAATTTGTGATGCATGGGAACAAACACAAGATTTATAATCTGAATTTATACTAATTACCCAACATGAGAACGTACACTATTTACCCAAATTTATAATCTTAATTTCAATTTTTGAGATGCATGAGGATGGGAACAAACAATTATTAATTACAGAAGGTAAATCACACAATTTGGAAGTATATATTTATTAATTGGAAACACAAGTATTGTGGGTCCTGGCAAATGTTTTAAATTTTGATCTCCGTTAGGCCGTTTACAAATATTCCGTTGAAATAAAATTTATGACCGCAAACATTACAAAAGTGAATTTGGGGGAGATGGATGGGCTTATGAAGTTTTCACACGTGACCTGGGTTCGACTCCCTCCATGCACTGCAGTTTTAACCCCATGGTCGATGTGGGCCCCTCTTGGGCCAGACCCTCGCAATCTGAGCCCACGTCAATTCCAGCTGGGTTGAACAAAGTGACTCACGAAACTTCATAAATACTTCCAGCTGGGTAGACACGGTTTGTCCCGTAAATCACCACGGTCATTTCGGGTGGTTCCGTGCATTTTTTTTCAAATGTTATTGCATGGTCCTTTAGTTTAGAGCATTTTAACAATGCTTGGTAAATTTCAAAGCGTTTGGATGATTATTTCATTGAAAACGACGATGTCCAAATTTATGCCCAGCTGTCCGCAAAGTTCCTTGTCTGACTTAGCAAGTACTTGGGATTGTTGGGAATGTGAGAGGAATATATGGCATATCGTTTGCCTCACTAATTAAATAGTACAATAAGCTCTAAAACAAATGTATATGCCATTTTGGCACGAGAACGACGTAAAACGACATAGGCCAAGGCATAACACAGAACCGTCGTAAAAGTACTGGGGTGGCAGGCGGGTAAACCTCTGTTGCGTGATATTTTCCGCATCCGTCCGCAACTGTGCGCAATTTGGGCGCCCTCGTTCCGCATAAGTCCGCAACCTCGGCACCCCCGTTCCGCATAAGTCCGCAACTTGGGCACCCT